ATTTGTTGCACGAGTATGCTGGTTAATATTGCTTTAGACTTTCACCTCCCTAAGACAGCTCATGTGATGCAAACAAAACTATGTATAGCATATGACTCAGAATATATTGTCTGGTGTACAACTTAATGCATACAGCAAGTTCTGCAGCCTGCACCAAGAACGTAGATAAGGGGGGAGGGGCGGTAGGGCGACCCCATGTACATTTTGCTCCTTGTCGAGCCCGTAAACTCGATGCACTGATCCAAACAGCAACTGCCCACAGACTGGAAACCCAAAACGCGTGTTGGAGGATATCGCACGGTAGCAGAAATACCGTCGCAGCTGGGCTTCACATATTGCCGAAGCTTCAGCTCCAGCCGCAGACGTTCTCGGCAGAGCGGTGCTGCGTCGCACCCCTAGCGTGCACCAGAAAGGGCATGATGGCCAGCGGTGCCTGCACTTTGTTCCGCAGCTCGCAGTCGGTGAGGCTTCGTAGTGGAGGCTGTGTGACTGGTCCATGCCAGGAGATCAGTTCGGTGCACCTCACAGCCTCGAAGATGAGATGACAGCTGAGCCTCACGATGATGACCTCACGGCCGCTGAGATAGTGAAGACCCTGGGCTGAAGAAGACCTTCGGTTTACCGCACACGAACAGCGCGACGATCGAAACCGCTTGTTCGCGGACCATGTGGTTCTCATCCCACACCAAGTCCAGCAGCAGCTGTCCCGGATGGACCCAGTACCCGTTACGCTGGAGGACTGGCTGCACCGTGTCCTGTAAGTGCTCCGGCAGCTCGCAAAGCAGCGCGATGCTCCGGAACAAGTTGCGTAAGCCAAAGTCGCAGCTGCTGTTCTGCCGGATGGAGGACAATACCGGTACGTAGCGGTCGACCAGGCACTGGACGAGGTCCTTCAGAACGATGCTGGCGGTCTCGGTAGAGATGTAAACTAGAGGCGAGCGGCCGGTGTCAATCATCTGAAAACAAAAGCGAAAATATTAGAACAATTCGCTACGAACTGAACATTTGATCATACACAAGTTGTTGCGCCTCTTTAGTGCATGTAATTATGCCGATATCCAGAGTCCTTAAATGTGACGGAACAGATATCAACAAACGTGCTAATAAGCATGAACCAACCAACAAATGATATGCATACTACGACACGAAGCATGATAATATGGAAATGCTTAGCTGTGAGCACATGAAATATCAGTTGATACTTTGAACACTCATTGCATAAATTCGAAGATAATGCGCATTCATATTTACCTGACTTGGTTCCATGGTCCGATTCGCCGCTGGGCTGCCACGTTTCGGACAGAGCCATTTTGAATGCCGGAGACCAAAAGGTACAGCAGCTGCTGGTTGGTGCTCAGATGCAGAATCAGGTCGACCGGCAGGTTTGGCACTTGCCCCGACCTAAGCTTGAATGCCACAACGTTCTCTCCCAGACCTCTCCGGCACAGGTCTTGCCGGTGGGTCCAGAAAAAAATCGATCCCGTGGTTGTGCCGTCCAATCTCAGCAGCAGATGGGGGAGGTTCAGCTCGTTGCCATGCAGCTGGCAGATAAACCGGTGTACGGGTGACTCAGTGACCAGCTCAACACGCTCAACACGTGGCAGAACACGTCGCCTGTCGTTTCGATGTTGACGGTCGTGCCGTCGCAGCCGAGCATATTGATGTGACCGTCGCACCGCGGGTTCACGGAGTGTAGCTCGTTGAACAAGTACAGGGCGCGGCCGAACTCGGACGTAAAATAAGTCACCTAGCGGCTGCTTGGCTCAGTGATGACAACCACGTGCTTTTCGACGGCGTTCGTCTGGCTCCTTGTGGCTCATATAGCTCCTGCCTTCGCGGCCATCAGAGTAGAAGATGTCGAACCTGACTCATGGATTGCTTCAAAATTTTAACGATGCCGTCTCCTTTCTCGCCCTGTCTCTTGCGCAGCGGATCTTCTTAGGACCTACGATATTTGATTTCATGAGTAGCCAGTCCGTCTCTGCTGTCTTGTCGAATGGCGATGATGATAGCAGCAGCGGCCCGGTTCGAGTCATCGTAGCTGGCAACCGCCAGAGCGGTGTTAGTCAGATCTTTCACGTTATAACCTGCAGTGACAGTGGTCTCATCCGGAACGAACAATCGGCGTCGTCGTCACCTTCTACCACGTACGGAAACGTGCAAGAATCCGTGCTCTCGGCTGACTCGCCAGCGCTGAAACCACTTGGTCCCGGAGCAGGTTCAGGGTCAGCACTAGTAGCCAGCGCTGGCTCAGCAGGCGGCGCGGGCTCAGCATCCGGCGGGGAAGGCGACTCAGGTTCAGCAGCAGACACCGCCGCACTGACGGCCGAGCCACGACGCCCCTGGAGTTGTCTGACCATCCTCCGCACCTCGCGAGCCTTCCTAGCCACAATCGTATCCAGGTCATATGACCCCAGGGAAGCTTCCGGTGCCTGCACTGGTCCTTCATGGCGACCTCCTCCTGATACACTGTGCAGGCAACTGGGCATGGAAAGATGCACTGAGGCTTGCACTTGCATTTCGCAACATCAAGAAGCTTGTTGAATTTCGCGGTGGCAGCGTTTCTGTGTCACTCTCTTTCTTTCTTTGATTTCTTGTCGACAGCTCTGTTGGGATGATATCAATTCCTCTCAATTAATTTTGTCACATATTGCAGATCATGAACAGGGATCGCTTTGTTGGTCCACAGTACCCTGATTTCTACCGTCGCGGTCTTGAAGATCGTATCAGTGAGATTCCTCTTCGATTCGCTCAGCCACCTGATGTAGCTCAATGCTTTCCTGTGGTCGGCAGTTGGTGGTGGGACAGAAGAGCCGGGTGGCCTATCACAAAACGTTTTGTGTGCGACCGTGCAGCCTTCGGCATACTTATGCAATTAATTGCTCGAAATGAATATTCCAGTACGGGCAAAACTAAACTAATAAACCCATCTCTCTGACGCAAAAAGCACATGAATTGTAAATGAACATCACAAAAATGTGTCAGCAATAACAAACTTGAACCTAACCCGGTGTGATGGAGCATTTTCATAACTGCACAGCTTTGGGTTTTACCAAAATTAATGTTATTTACTAAAAAGTCAGCTTAAAAGCTGTTTGGCAATGTTCTGGTGCTCTTCATGTTATATATTTCATACTTAATCCACCAAGTACCAATAGTGTGAAAAGTGACAGCTGTTAAGGTTTGTTGGAGGATTATCCCAGTGCGTAAAATAGGTGGCGCTAGCATCGAATACGGTTTTCTTGTGCCTATCAAAGAAAAAAACTGCTCTCGCCTCACGAATATCAACATTGGTGCGGTGCCACACACCTGAAAGTTTATTGTTAATCCGTGCGCCAAGGAAAACCTTTGTATCAGCTGATTCCAAGAGATCACCCCCTCGATGACACACCCTATTGAACATACTCATAGCTCATACTCCACGTATAAATCGTCGACGTCGTCATTTGGGCATTACGACGCGCTCAGCTGCCGTGTATCCTCAACCGAAATAGTACAAACAGATTAAATACTGTCTATGACCAGTCAAACGATGGAGGTGGGATCTCGTGGTTGAGGGCGGACAACCATGCGTGGAGAGACAGCTGTTCGTGGCAGGATCGCCGAGTACCGCGAGCAATCGAACCCCGTACCTCTGCTTTCGCAGACGCGCTGTTTAATCACTGCACCGTCGATACCCCGAATACACCAACCATATGTACAGATGATAAGTAATATGACGTACTGTACAAAATGAACCCTGAGAAGAAATAACACAGCATAGCCAATTAGATAACGCCACGTATTAATAGGTATGTATTCCGAAAACGATTTCTTAAAAAGCGTTATAAAACAATGTCTTCAAAAAAATTGCGCGTTCCCGTGGTTGGCAAGATTGAAAATATCAGCTTTAGTTGGCTCTATACTGACATGGTTTGGGCCACGTATCAGTCCAAATGATGCGTTTTAAAACGAGCTAACAAAGCAAGGCACATTGACTTGCATAACACCAACAGGGTTGCTAACACATGTATTCGTTTATCGTGCTAGCGTCAGACCAGCGTCGCAGGATAACCTTAACAGGTCAAATTACGTGCACATATGGGTCTTGTTTCTGGAACCTCTTCATTAATTTGTTTGTTTCGGAAAGCTTTTTGTTAACATTTGACACATTACTGGGCCAGGCGTGGCACTAGAAACGCGCGAGACATTATTCGAAATTCCCTGATTTTCTTGCGTGAGATCTGCGAAAAATAAATCAGCGTCCAACAACTCAAGACCCTGAAACAAATAACAACTGATACTAGTGGCACAATCATACTTGCATATCCCGAGAGTTCAGCATGGTTATTTTGGATTAATCCATACATTGAACTGGTCTTGACTTTCAACTGCTTAAGACACGCACCGTTTAGGACCATTTTTAACAAAAAGCTTTCGTGTCAAAATCATTGGAGCGATTGTAGATTTTGATGGGTAGTTTAGGGAAAACTCAATTAGCATATACAATGGAAATGTTGCGTTTTGACATCGTGGACAGGTATAATCATTCGTCCCTTCATTCTATCCCAATTTGATGGATTGCCACGGTTTAGTGTAGAGGAATATTTTGGTCGATGCAACATAGACTCTGGATAAACAGATCTACGGCTGGGTTGGATTTCGACTTGGTATGCGGGCTTAGATCAGATTGTTCTCAGTTGAACGCCTAAGTGTGATTTAGTGTTGCCCTCGCCTCCACCCACCCTCAAAGGTGACCTTAGGCCCGACGGCACCGGCGTCAGTCACGTGATCTGCAGCGACGCGGAGCTCCCGCTGATGGGGGTCATGGTAGGGGATCTTCGTCAGGGGCGACGTCTCTACCCTCATTTTCCGAAGCGACGTTATTGCCCAAGTCCTAAAGCCTAGCTAACACCAGCGATGCTTCCTGCAGCCGTGTGTCCATCTGCACCCGTGTCAGGTATGATTTCTACGCCGTACTGATTATCGTAAAAACTCATGACTTGGTCTAAAACACATGATGCGGACAGGGAAGTTTTATTTCGGTGTCCATGATTCCACAATTTATGCCATTGACTAAACATTCACTGGTAATTTGTTCTCAAGGGACTGACATGGGCGACAGCTGTTTTGAACTATTTGTTACTGTTCAGCCCCTTCCTCCTCCTCCTCTTCATCAAACTCCCCTTCCTCTTCGGCAGTGGCATCCTGGTACTGCTGGTATTCTGACACCAGATCATTCATGTTGCTCTCAGCCTCGGTGAACTCCATCTCGTCCATGCCCTCGCCGGTGTACCAGTGGAGGAAGGCCTTGCGCCGGAACATGGCGGTAAACTGCTCCGAGACGCGCTTGAACAACTCCTGGATGGCAGTGCTGTTGCCGATGAATGTGGCAGACATCTTGAGACCGCGAGGCGGAATATCGCAAACTGCCGTCTTGACGTTGTTCGGAATCCATTCAACAAAATAGCTGCTGTTCTTGTTCTGGATATTCAACATCTGTTCATCCACCTCCTTCATGGACATGCGACCTCGGAAGATGGCGGCGACAGTGAGGTAGCGACCATGCCGGGGGTCGCAGGCCGCCATCATGTTCTTGGCGTCGAACATCTGTTGCGTCAGCTCAGGCACGGTAAGAGCTCGGTACTGCTGGCTGCCGCGGGACGTCAACGGAGCGAAACCGGGAATGAAGAAGTGGAGTCGAGGGAATGGTACCATGTTCACAGCCAGCTTCCTGAGGTCAGCGTTCAGCTGGCCGGGGAACCGTAGGCAGGTGGTGACACCAGACATGGTGGCGGACACGAGATGGTTCAGATCTCCATACGTTGGAGTCGTCAGCTTCAGAGTTCTAAAGCAGATGTCATACAGGGCTTCATTATCAATGCAGAAAGTTTCGTCTGTATTTTCCACGAGTTGATGCACGGAAAGCGTGGCGTTATATGGCTCTACAACGGTATCAGATACCTTTGGAGACGGTACGACACTAAAGGTGTTCATAATACGGTCCGGATATTCTTCTCGGATCTTGGAAATGAGTAGCGTCCCCATACCAGAGCCAGTACCGCCGCCCAAAGAATGGGTCATTTGAAACCCTTGTAGGCAATCGCAGCTTTCGGCCTCTTTCCTCACCACGTCAAGAACTGAATCGACAAGCTCGGCACCTTCTGTGTAATGTCCTTTTGCCCAGTTGTTGCCCGCTCCGCTCTGTCCAAAAACAAAGTTGTCCGGTCGGAAGATCTGCCCGAACGGTCCAGCTCGCACTGAGTCCATTGTTCCCGGCTCGAGGTCCACCAAGACGGCCCGAGGAACGTACTTTCCGCCGCTAGCTTCATTGTAGTAGACGTTGATTCGTTCCAATTGCAAGTCCGAGTCACCGTGGTAAGTTCCTGTGGGGTCGATACCATGTTCATCGGAGATAACCTCCCAAAACTTGGCACCAATTTGGTTACCGCATTGGCCAGCCTGTAAGTGAACAATTTCTCTCATCTTGAAGCTGTTGCCTACGCTGTGAAGACAAGAACAAAGCTACCTGCAAACCGCCCCGGTCCCTTGAGTTTGAAATCAGCTCATTTTTCCGTTGCTACATATTTTTAAGTCCTCGCGTGGCAGCACGCGCTTCGCTATCTTGGCACCACTCGCAAGAAGATACTCCTCAGCGCAGTATTTGTTTTCCCCACCGTCTGCAGCTGGGATCTAAATCAGTATTGAGCTGCCTTGCGCTGCAGTGCACCCGCGGTCTTTCTGACGAAGTTGACCCAATGGTGCATTGGAGTTAAAAACCATTAGTTATTATAATGAGTTGTGGACATCACTAAAAAGGGCAGGTACAAAACACTTGGCGTATTTCGTCCTTCTTTGTCCAGTCTATCTTCAACCACAAAAAGTGCATCTTGAATATATCTATGTACATATATGTATATATATATATATATATATATATATATATATATATATACATGTATACATATGTACTTTCAGAACATTTTGTAAAGACCCATAGCATATCTGCAGGATGCACATCACCATGTGTGTATCTACGGCTTGCTCTTGCTAGACGTACAGATAGAGGACAAGTAGGTAGCGGGCTGGGTTGGGTTAAGAGTCCTTAAAGATTACGAGTATGGTTAAGGGTGTGGGTAACACGTTTGTGAAATACCGGGTAAATGTTTAACGCGGTCTCACATAGTGTGATTGCTTGCGTTTCCTTTAGTCACAAGTTGCTTCATTCACTTCTCCTGCATTTTTGAACGTAAAAGAGCAAGTTTGGGTGTAAAGGTTCCTAAAACTCCTTCATAAACTATTTAAAATTTTAGAAAAATGACGGTGGATGGGTGATTACAAATAATTAGGAATGGGTAACAGATGGGTATGGATAAAGTGTCATGTGTAGCGGGTGGATCGGGTGAAAGAAAGCGTACCAATGAAGGCATCTACGCACCAGCGTTGTGGATCTGGGTCGATGTAGTTGCGCTGTTCTCTTGCCTATTTAGATATGAGATCTTGGTTTAATTTACCATGATGTGCTTCGGTGACTTATAAGGTAGTTTTCTACGAATTCACAATGGCGGATTTTCGAGGCGTGTGTAGCTATCGCTAATGCCCGCTCATACGCACGCTCTCGGTAGCCTCAGAATTTCGTCGGAAAAGCATATGTGCTTAAGTTAAGATAAAACCAGTTAAAAACACTTATTCAACCCATTCGGAACAATCGCACCCGACTTTTCACCAAATACCCTTCGGCAGATGCCCTCCTGTTGAGAATACTTTTTCGCCACTCGTTTCAACGAGCATGCATCGCAAGCCTGCTGCATTTCAGGGGACAGCGTTAAACTGTTGTGCCTCTGAACGAAAAGCAACCCTTGGCCGCTTAAGTCCAAACGTGTAACGAACGAAGCGCCTCTCGTGCCAGTGTCACGCGCAACGCAGGCTGATTGTGAACACGTTGCTAGTGGGTCTGGGTCTTCAGTTATATATATATATATATATATATATATATATATATATATATATATGTGTGTGTGTGTGTGTGTGTGTGTGTGTGTGTGTGTGTGTGTGTGTGTGTGTGTGTGTTGTGTGTGTGTGTGTGTGTGTGTGTACCTATGTACACATACTCGGTGCTCAGAGAGCTCACCCACGCTAAGTCGGCTTAACTACCTCCGGGCAGTATGGGCAATGATGATACGTTTGAAGGTTTGATATCACTGATTGAAGAGCATCAGCGCATGTGCAGCTCTCGCCGCGCCTACAACAGCGATGCAGCACAAAACTTTCGGCAGCAATAATGACTGGATCGCATGACGGCGTGATGCTCAAAACAGCGTTTCGTGAAAATAGCACCCAGGTCATTTCACCTCACTCACTGCGGCGATGAGTCGATCAAAGTTAATCTGCCCGGGTTCAAGTGCCTCTGATGTGCTGACATGTTTGAAGTAAATAGTTATTACCTGGGTCTTCAATAGGCTGTCGTTCATACTGTTGCATGCGAACCAGCTGCGCAGTGATTGAAGGGCTTCCTCCATGACTCTTACTGGCGCAGCCGAATTCTTTTAAGCCTGGACCTGTTTTAGCCGTTCACGTCTTACCGCTTTTTTAATGCGCCCTTTTACAGGCGTTTTTACAATGGAACTGTAGAGGAGTAAGGGCGAACGCCCTCGATCTCGAGGCTGTCGTCAACAGGGTCTCTCCTGCAGCCGTGGCGCTGCAAGAGACCAAGCTAGCCCCTGAACATTTCTGCTCCTTGAAAGGATATGCGATGTTTCGCAACGACGTGTTGACGGATAGCATCGCTCACGGTGGCGTCCTCCTGGCAGTTCACCATAGCGTGCCAGCGAGGAGGTTAAGCTTGCGGTCCACACTTCAGGCTGTGGCCGTGCGGCTTTATTTCAACCATCGTCACATCACTGTTTGTTCGCTTTACCTTCCACCAGGCATCGCTTTTCCGTTGGCGCACCTTAGATGTCTGCTGGCCGAACTGCCTCCACCACTTCTTCTTCTAGGCGATTTTAATGCGCATCACACCGCATGGGGGTGTGACGTCACCAATGCTCGTGGGAGGCTGTGCGAGAATTTTATCCACGGTGCTTCACTATGTATTTTAAACACAGGAACTCGTACGCATTTTACAATGCCGTCCGGTCAGACATCCGCGCTAGACTTAAGCCTCTCCAGTCCCCAGCTTGTCCAACACCTTGAGTGGAGTGTCGGAGATGATGATGGGAAGTGACCACTCCCCAGTGTGGGTCCGGTTTAAGAGAGGTGGAGCGTTGAATGTTAGACTACAACGCTGGAATTTTAAGAAAGCGGACTGGCGCGAATTTGAGACTCGGCTCGACGAATCGTTTGTAACTGAGGCTGTGAGGACTGTACCCTCTATTGAGGATTTTACCCACAGACTTTTAGAGTGCGTCAACAGTTGTATCCCACGCACGTCTGGCGCTCCCCGACGTACTCCTGTTCCATGGTGGACGGAGGAGTGTCGGAGCGCCATCCGGGCGCGTAAACGTGCATTTCGGGCCTTTGACGCCAGGAGCAGTGCAGAAAACCTCATAGCCTTTAAGAAAGCGAGAGCTTTTGCTCGGCGCACCGTACGGGAGGGGAAGCGTACTTCCTGGCATGCTTACGTGAGTACGCTGAAACGCTTCACGCCAACATCGCAGGTTTGGTCTCGAATTAAGCGTATATCTGGGCAGTTTTCACCCATGGCTCTTCCGGTACTATGTGGGAACGGACAGGCCGTGACGCGCCCGTTGGAAGTTGAGAACGAGATTGCCCGGGCGCTGGCCTGCCGCAGCGAAGGTGGCAACACTAACCCACAGTTTGTGCGGCACCGAGCGCAATGTGAACAATCCGCAGTGGATTTTTCAACGAGTAAGCCGCACTCCTATAATGATCCATTCACCCTGGTCGAGTTGGAATGGGCGATTGCCAAGCTTCGCAGCGTGTCAGATGGTCCGGACACTGTACACAACGACATGCTCAAGCATTTGCCGCGTTGCGTGCTTCGTGCTCTTTTAGCGGTATTTAATGCGCTTTGGGCCAGTGGAGACTTTCCAGCCTCTTGGCGAGAAGCTATAGTCGTTCCTATTTTGAAACCGGATAAAAGTGGACTGGATCCTTTACACTATAGACCTATTTCTCTCACTTCATCGCTCTCTAAGTTGATGGAAAAGATGGTTAATGTCCGTTTAACTTGGTTTTTAGAACACCAAGGCGTTTTTACAAACGCCCAGTGTGGCTTTAGAAAGAATCGCAGCACAGTTGACAATCTTTTAGTTCTTGACACTGCGATTCGTATGGGATTTAAAGCAAGCCGACACATAGGCGCAGTGTTCTTTGACATAGAGGGCGCCTATGACACCACATGGCGTCAAGGAATCCTTCTCAAGCTACACAGGTATGGTATACGTGGCAATATGGGCACCTTTCTTCAAAACTTTCTAGTTGACCGTTCTTTCCGTGTCCGTGTTGGAGACGCGCTCTCTGAGAGGCATGTTCAGGTTAACGGTGTGCCCCAAGGCGGCGTTCTCAGCGTAGCTTTGTTCGCCGTTATGATCAACGACATCGGGATGCGGCTTCCGCAGTCTGTAGGTCGTGCGCTTTTTGTTGATGATTTTACCATTTGGACTAGCGCAGCAAGACCACCATCGATGGAACGCCAACTCCAGTTAGCTGTTGACCGCGTTGAGAAGTGGGGTACCATGAACGGGTTCAGGTTTTCACGTAGCAAGACTGTAGCCATGCATTTTTGCCGTAGCCGGCAATGCGGTGACCTTTTATCCGTATGTATGGACAATGCATCCCAACTGAGCCTGTGGCTAGATACCTTGGGGTATACTTTGACCGCCGACTTACATATAAGGCACATCTTAAAACGCTACGTGAACGCTGTTTTAAATCTTTGAACGTATTAAAATGTGTTTCGCGCACGTCGTATGGCAGAGATCGGAGCACACTTTTGCTGCTGTATCGGGCAATCATACGCTCTAAGCTGGACTATGCATGTTTTATTTATGACAGCGCATGTGAGTCCACGAAACGGATCATTGACACCATCCATCACACTGCTTTACGTGCCATCACAGGGGCGTTCCGTACATCTCCTACCCAAAGCCTCTTGGTAGAATCGCACGAGCCGCCGTTGTCAGCGAGGAGGAAAATGCTTGGCATGCGTTATGCACTTAAGCTACGACAGTTTCCGTGTCACCCCGCACATCACGCAGTCTTTCCGCGGCCTGCTGTGCCGTTTGTTCGCAATGCACCTCGGGGGCATGCAGTGACCTTTGGCTCCCGGAAACAAGCCTTACTGCGGGAAACCGAAATTCCCATTCGAAAGGTGAAGCGATCACGTCACCTGTGCACTCCTCCCTGGCATTTGATCTCACCCTTCACAGACACATCTCTGACTGAAATGAAAAAGGTGTCTCGCTGCCAGATATAATGAGGTCCAAAGCGTTTGAGCGTATTGCGTTATATGAGGGTTACACACACACTTTCACGGACGGCTCTAAAACTTCTGATGGTGTAGGCTGTGCGTTTGTGAGCGGTGGCGTCACCCGGTCGTTTTCATTGCCCCCAAACACTTCGGTGTTTACATCAGGGCTTATAGCAATCATTAAGGCACTATGTTTCATTGAAGTCGGTGACGAACCCTTGCATCTCATTTTGACGGACTCTCTGAGCAGCGTTCTGAGTGTGAAGTCTTTTTATCCGTCATGTCCCCTTATACAGGACATATTAATACGTTTGACTCAACTGGATGAGGCCGGAAAGAAAATCATGCTATGTCGGGTTCCTAGTCATGTCGGCATCGCGGGCAACGAGTTGGCTGACGCGGCTGCCAGGCGAGCAGCGCTGGCTCCATGTGTTCACTCTCTTTCTATTCCTGCCAGAGACTTCTACTCTGCAATAAAAACATTCCTGCACAACAAGTGGCAGCGTTGTTGGGATCGGATGGATAGTGATAAGCTCAGAGAGATAAAACCTAAGCTAGGTCAGTGGTTCTCTTGCTCGCGGAAAATGCGGCGAGAGAAGGTGATCCTCTGCAGATTGCGCATCGGGCACACATACGCAACCCACGGCTATATGTTGGGGGGAGCCGATAAACCGATCTGTCATCGATGTGGTGCCGTCCTCACCGTTCGCCATATTCTTATTTCTTGTCCGCGCCTCGCGGAAGAACGCCAACGCTATTTTGGACAGCATGACTTGTCCCTTACCCTCTGTGATATGTTAGGAGATAAATCACCATTTCTGGAATTTCAACAGATCTTTTTGTTTCTCAAACACATCAACTTTGGGACCATTTATGCGGCTCATTAGATAGGTAAAACCAAACTCGTTATGGGCGCCAAATGACCACCGCAGTCGGCGCGCCCCTAAACTCCAATAAACAACAACAAGAACGTTGTCAGGCAAGCATGGGATGACCTTGTGCGTTTTGAACTAATTTTGCCCCACGCCATGTAACACTGATGAGATCCCTTATTTCTTTTCCGTAAAGGGTTCCTCTTCAGATCAACACTACGGGACACGTTGTTCCCGGCCAAAGGCTGCAGGGCCATTCTGTCCAACCGAGGTGTGTTTTCCGGCCGTCATTCTGGCGACACAGGATGATATCCCCTGGCCGATCCGGAGGCCCCTAGAAGGATACATCGTGTGAAATTGGGTCTCTCCCTGACGGGGGAAACCTTCTGACCCGCGCAGTTGACCCCGAATCGACGCATGAACCGTTGTTAACGCCACAACAGCCCTGCTTGCCGCAGGTAGTCAAGTAATTGGGACAAAGACTCCAGTTGGGCTTAACGGACCCACACTGGAAATGAGCTGGAGAGCACACTGTTCTGTACTGGGGACCCTGACTGACTCAGGACTCTTATTTCACCTCAACGTGAACACTCATTATAAGTTATCATGTTTCCGTCGATTGCCAGAGACCCCAACCGACGCAACAGACCCTTTGCCATTCGGGCTTCGTCCTCGCCCCTGCTGAACAAATCTTTCCCTGACCGAATCAAGGCCTCTTGTTGATACAAAATGCCCTGTTGGGTACTGTGAGTCCCTGAACGTTACAGGAGCCCGGCCTTGTCCCTGCTTGGGCAATGGGCCCCCAGAGCTCGCAGCAATACGGGGCCGTCTGTTCGTTGGTCGTGATCTCTGGACAAAATAGAGGAACACAATAAGAATAGAGGTCTCAGGTCTCAACGGCTCAGACGGACGTGGAGCCGGCTGTTCGGTGTTCGTGGTCTGTGACCGATTTAGACGCCCACATTGTCTGAGGGTTCCTAAAACGATGGAAAAGGACCTCTGACTGATATTTCAGGTCACGATCGTTCGGGCCGAGATTCTTTATGTGACCTACAGCTAGTCCTCCGGGCCCTTATGCTCTCTAAAAGGGCCTTGATTGTTGGTTCCGGTGGGCCTCCCGGGCCCCTCTTCGGGTCTCATCAAACACCTTTCCTGGTCGGCTCAGGGCCTTCGCGAGCACAGGGCCCTCTGTTAGGTGCTGTGAGCCCCATCATATACAAGGCCCCCCCCCCTCCCCACACCAGTGGCAATCACTGACCCCGGCTTTATACCCGATTGGGAAGTAGGTATTCAGGTCCATACCGACACAGAACCGACTATGTGGCACGGTGGTACCTGACCGACATTTAGGCCCATATCGACCCAGTGGGTCCTCGATCGGCGCAAAGGGCCCTCTAACCGTTATTTGAGGGTCCGTCTTTGCAGGTCTGGGCAACTCAATAAGACTCCGACCAGCCCTTTAAGCCTTAGGCCCTCTAATTGAGCCCTGATCGTCGTACCCGGCGGGCTCTTTGGGCTCCTCGGGCCTCATTCAACACTGTCTCTGGCCGACTCGGGCCCCCTTGACAGCACATGGTTCCTGCTAGGCGCTGTGGCGGCCCCAAGCAAGGTAAATCGCTGGCTCCGACTTTGTCCCTGCTTGGGAAACAGGACCTAAGCCCCATGCTGCCACGGGGCCGGCTCTGCGTGACTGGTGGTGTCTGACCGAAATATAGGCGATTATCGACTCTATGGGCCCCTGATTAGCGCGCAGGGCCCTCTGGCTGGCATTGAAGAATCCGGTCCTGCGGGCTGGGAACCGTGAATAAGAGCTACGGCTGGCTTGTCGGGCCCCTTGGGCCCTTGAATCGGGCCCCTAATCGTAAAGTTTCGAGGGGCCCTTCGGCCCCCACGGAACCTAAGGGCGGGGGGGGCATGTGTCCCCTGTGGCCCCTGCCTGCGTTATTGCCAGCAAACAATTTTTGAAGGGTAATGTCATCACCTATAAATTGGGGACTTGACCCCGTTATGCTACACAATAATTAACATTTTCAACTTAAGGCAAGAATCAGCTTGCAGTTCATCGTTGGTTATGAATAGGGTGGGCGAGGAAGGAAAAAGGGAAAAAAGAATGAGGGAAAGAGAGAGAGAGAGAGAGAGATAGAGAGAGAGGAAGAGAGAGAGAGAGAGAGAGAGAGGAGAGAGAGAGAAGAGAGAGAGAAGAGAGAGAGAGAGAGAGGAGATAGAGAGATAGCGAGGAGAGAGAGAGAGGAGAGAGAGAGAGAGAGAGAGAGATAGAGATAGAGAGAGAGAGATAGAAGAGAGCGATGAGAGAGGAGGAGAGAGAAGAGAGATCTAAGTACTCATACTGCTCTCTCTCTCTATATCTCGCCTCTATATGCATCTCGTCATCTCTAGTATATATATCTATCCTATCCTATTCTCTTTCTCTCTTCCTATCTCACCTCCTTCTATCCCACTCCTTCTCTCACTCTTCTTCTCTCTCTGCTCTCTCCCTCTCCTCCTCTTCTCTCACCCCCCTTCTCCCCTTTCTCATTTGCTTCCTCCCCTCTCCTTTCCCTCCTTTATTTCTTTCGATCCTCTCCTTTCTCCCCAGCTTTTCGGTCATGGGTTGATTCATGCAATTTCCATCACTTCTCACCAGCTTGCTTTTCGCGACCCGTCGTTCTTTTAACCCACGGATCCACGCACGGACACGGGGCAGAACATATAAGTCTCCGCAAGCAGTAGTGTCTATTGCAGTTAACGATACGCGTCGAACCAGTTGTGTGTCCTACCACACCGTGACATACTTTATCATGCTACACCACATCTATTTGTTCGAGACTGGCACACCAAGCACATATTTACCACACATTTCCGTCGCCGGAATATCACCGTGTGCCGCGGAAGAAATTCTTGAACAGAGCCGCAGATGATTTCGCCCAAAGCGCTTGGCTAAGTTCCAATCGTCCAGGCTTCGTCCATCCGAAATCATGCACGATATCCTTCCGCACGGTCCACCAATCCGCTAACCGAGGGTGCGTGGTCTCAACGGACTGCTCCTTAACAAATTCGCTCTTGGAATTTGGTGTACTCGAATAATACACCGTTTCACTTAGGTCAAAAGTGTGAGGTTCCTAGGTCATGACCTTCGGGTCAAATTCCTGGTTGGTCTCCAGAGTGCCCTCAGAACCTAGGTAACTGTTTCTAAGCAAAAGGTCACGAGCACATTTAAGGTCAGTGGTCTTGTTTGACCTTTTAAAGTTCATGGTGATCAAGATAATACAAGACTGCTCTGAGTTTTGCATTTGCATAAGCAACAAAGAGTACGCTTGGCAGTATCTTTCTAATAGCAAAATGTCGATCTCAAGTCATTTTAGGTCAATAACCTATTCTGACCTCTTAGAAATCAATAGAAGATGTATTATGTGGTTCCTTCAGTCAATGAATTCGAAATGAGCACCAGAAACTATCCCGTACAGCAAGCTCTAGAGTGATAAAACAGGTTGGTTTTGACCTTAGTCTGACCTTTATACCTGATCATAGGTCAACGCAATTTGCTTGTTCAATATTTTTGTACCCTAAGAAAGCATTTCAGAGATGTATGGCTTCGTCTAACACTTCGTCGGCACGTTAGATTGAACGATTCCCTAGAAATTTCCTTCGCTGAAGGCATAGTCTGACTTTGACCTGGCATAACTCAGCTATCTTACAATGTACATCTGCGCGTGCTAACATTTAAGGAATGCGTGAAATCATTTTCGGGCTGACACAGAGGGCGTAACTCTTGGACGCATGAGTGAAATTGCATCCAAACGGTTGTTCAGCTCGGCCGAGCCGTCGTAGACATGGTCCAGCACTTACTACTATGCATTCCACATGTTTGAACATTGTGGGAACAAACTCAGTCTGAAGACATTTTTATGTATTACGCAAACGAAACCAAAGACATTCCAACTGCCCTCATATTTTTACGTCCAAATCATTGACAGTCTGAACCACAGCTTTTAAAATATCACGGAGCATCACGGAATACCACAGGATATGTGTTGGCCGAGAAATACAAAAAGATGAATTAAGACACCTTGCAACAAATACGAAAGTTCATAATTTCACGAGACAAAGTCCTCGTCCACGTGCAATTGTAATCCCAGCGTGGGCCCTGTTCTGCAAAACTGGCCAAAATCGCGGCAATATCAAAAACAGCCGTTGGTATGAAACGCAGATGCTGCGACAGGGCGAGCGGCTAGAACTCTCGAGCTGCAGCCGAACGGGCCTCGAGCAGCCGCCGGCGCGGATGGGCAGCACGTGACGGGGAAATTCGGAAAGCATCAGGCACACAACAGACACAAACCCCGCTCACTTTTCAGCAGTCTCGCCAATTATTTGCTCGCATGCCTAGAATTATTCTTCAGATCTTTTATTATGCAAGAAATTTGTGCACGTCAACCATGACAAACCCAAGCACAGCCAAATGACAACAGTTAAACCCAAGCCCGAATACTCCCATTCCTTCTTTCCCTCCGGCCACCGCCTGTGTCGAGCAAAAGCCTAGCTGCGCTTCTTACGCACAATTCATGCGCGACACGCATGCCCATAGGAGATGCATCAAGAGCACGCCAGCTTACCACATTACCCAAAGCCCCAGAGTCATGCAGCCGGCCAGGAATCAGCACGCAAAGGTAGCATCTGCAAAGCCCCAGAGTCATGCAGCCGGCCAGGAATCAGCACGCAAAGGTAGCATCTGGTCCGCAGCCGCATGTCCCGCTAAGAGACAAAAGATGCTAGCGTACCGCGCCCGGTCCAGCCGCCGGCCACCGCGTGCATGACAAGCCTGATGACCTTATACAGACGTAAATACATCTCTCTTTCTCTCTCTCTCGGCCGGTTGACACTGGACACACGTACACGCAGCTCATGGCTGACCCACAGCCAACGGCACAGCCGGCAGATTACCGGCCGGCATAAAAAGGTGGCCCGCTCAGGACTGTCGGAGCAGCGAGCACTGTCCACTCAGGACCGTCGGAGCAACGAACACTGCTCGCTCAGGGCCACCGGGGCAACGCTGAGGGTCACCGGAGCAACGGGCACTGTGCGCTCAGGGCCACCGGAGCAATGAGCACTGTGCGCTCAGGGCCACCGGAGCAACGGGCACTGTGCGCTCAGGGCCACCGGAGCAATGAGCACTGTGCGCTCAAGGCCACCGGAGCAATGAGCACTGTGCGCTCAGGGCCACCGGAGCAACGGGCACTGTGCGCTCAGGGCCACCGGAGCAGCGAACATTGTTTGGCCGCCACTTCAGCAGGCACGGGGGCGCAGCCGAACGCCTCGCGAAAGGTGGGGTCGCCGTTGACGAGCCTGTTGATGACCGCCGACTCCGGAACCCTGATGAAGGACTCCCTTCTCAAGGCCCCCCAGTACATGAAGTCGTTGCTGCACCGGGAGTGTGCGAACGCCAGGAAGAAAGCCCGCTCAGAGCTGATGTTTTGCATCCCAGGCAGGACTACGTGGGGCGCCTTGCTCTGCAGCTTCTTGTACAGCCTGTGGGAGAGGTGGTAGCCAAGGTACTGGCTCACCACGTGAAGCATGGAGTTGGCTGGGTCGATGGTAAATTTTCGCGGCGCGACGTACAGTTCGTCACCTTGCACGTATGCCTGGTAACTGTGCTGTACGGTCTGCGTTCTGCTGAGCTCTTCCAGCGTGCAGTCGTGGAACTGGTCGTAGCGGCCAGCGGTTTCGGTATCCCAAAGGTCCTCCAGGCTCGACAGGCGGTGGATAAACAGCAGCGGCATGGCCAGGCCGGCGAACATGAGCGACCCGAAGGACGCCACGCTTAGGTGCCGTGGTAGGTCGGGGTGGTACCACGGCACCTGGAGCATCGCATAGGGGATGTTGAGCGAGTTGCGGCGCAGGTCGTACGTGATCCGAACGTCTGCCGGTGTTGAAGCCGTAGGCTCTGAAGCGAAGCCCCGGGTAATCTGCCCTGGCGTGCCGAAACCGTACACCGCCTTCAGGTTCTCAAAAAAGTTCTGCCTTGTTATGGTCAGGTTGCGGTAGTGGTCATCCAGCTTCCTTGGATCGGTGACCAGGTCTGATGAGCCATACCTTACATGCAGCTTTGAGAGAAAATCGCGTGATCGATTTCTGGAGGCGTCAGTCATCCAGCCAAAGCTGTCATTGACCTCGCGGAACAAGTCTCCCACCAGTCCAGTCACTTGCTCCAGTGTTTGCTTGCCGATGTAGCCCGAGACGAAGATGGCATGCACTGCTGGAGTCATGTATTCGCTCACAATCTCGAGGCACTGCTCCTCCCGCGTCTTGAACAGCTGCTCGTTGAACTTGTGTCTGAAGTCCTGGTCCAGGACGCTGTAGGTCGGTCCCAGCGCCACCAGATAGCGGCGGATGAGCGACCACATCAGGTAGTGATGCATCCGCTTGACGGGCGTGCTCGCGATGATGCGCCCGACGCCGGTGGCGAACTCGGCGCTGGGCAGCACCACGTGCACGGTGTCTGGGACGCTGCCCTCGCCGTACAGGGCGTCCAGCAGGCGGCGCCAGTCCACCTGGTCGGCCATCGTCTGCAGTGAGGCCAGCGAGATGCGACTCAGCGCCGCGCTGTATTTGTGCGGCAGAACTGGCTTCACGTCGTCGATGGCCGCCTCCATCGCCACCACGTCGTCCGCCAGCTCGTCCACGCATGACCGGCCGCAGGTGCGCGTCACGTTCCTCTCGACCACGCGCGCGTCGCGCTCCAGCAGCTGCAGCGCGGTGCGCAGCGACTGGCGCAGGGTGTTCAGCACTTTGTTGTACTTGTCGACGTCCTGCTGCAGGCCCAGACGCGCGTCAATAGCGAGCGTCGGCAGCACCATGCGCAGCTCGTTCGTGTCCGGGCGCCAGCGCAGCTCGAAGAGCGCCTCCATCAGGTGAGCGGCACTGGCCTCGCGGTAGACGCGGTTGAAGTCCCAGCGGGCCGGCTTCCAGGTGCCGAACAGGTCGAGGCCGCCAAACTCGTCGAGTAGTGCCACCAGGCTGGCTACGAAGTTGGAGTTGTACTGGTAGTTGACCGTGCAGGAGGTGAAGAACGTGCGTGCCTTGCTGGCTGCAGACGTCTTGTTGAAAAACTCCTCGCGGCGCAGCAGCGACATCAGATGGTGTCGGTTCCGTTCCTGCACCACCTCTGCCACGCCGAAACCGCGCAGGACTTCGGTGGGATGCACCTCATCGAACCGGCCGCACGCGTAGTGGAAGAAGTCCTGACACGGGTCGACAGAGCGGTTCATGTAGGCGACCGCCTGTGCCGCCTGCTCCACACAGCCCGCGAGATGGCAGACTTGGAGCTCCGCGCCGGCCGCCGCCGACGCCCCCGGTCCTGCCGCCTCTGATGTGGGCGGCGACGGAGGGCCACGGAAATCCGGGGAGAACAGCAAGATGACCAAGATCGCCATGGCCGCGAACAGCACCGCTGACAGCCAGCGGAACATGAGCAGCTTCGACAGGCGGTGTCCGCGCACTATCCAGACCGGGCCGCCAAGCTGCGCCGGCTGCTCGGCGAGCATCAGCTCCCTCTCGCCGGACGGTTCGGGTGCCGGCTCGGGTGCCGGCTCGGGCGCCGGCCCGGCCGCCGGCCCGGCCTTGGGACTGGCTGCCGTCTCGATGGCGTCCATAGAGTCCTCCGCGGCAGCTGTCGCCATCACTGCCGTCACTGCCGTCACTGCTGTCACTGTTGTCCAGTCACCGGTCGGCCTCCAGTCGCTGCGCGCGCACGGTCGCCGTAAGCACCTGTCGCCGACCGAGTCGCGCACTGCCACCCTCCGAGCCAAACCCGTCCAACTGACCCGGCCCCGGGCGCTGTAACCAAGGTCGAAGGTCAGCGGCTGCCCGCGGGCGTGCGCCGCGCAGGGGCAGACCGAGCGATCCCAAGCACTGGCGACGAGCTCGAGGTTGCCGTGTGCACTGTGTCGTGGCAGGCCACGCATACTTCGCGGATGCTGCGCAGGTGCACTGTGTGGGCTCGGAAATACTGTACGCATTTTGGCCCAGCCGTTTATCCAAAACAATCTCGCATGTCCGCCTGCGTCTCCGGCAGCTGGCTATCTGCCCATGGGCCTGTGCGCGGCACGCCACCCACAGCCTAAGCACCAGGGGACCCTGAGGAGATAGCGATGTTATTCTGCGCCGATGTTTGACCCATATGGATACAGTTACACAGCATTGAATCGAAATGGATAATTTGTTTTGTCTCCGACAGTTTATGGGGCCATCTATGCAACGTGAAAATGTAATCTTGCCAAGCACCCCACTCGGTTTTCATACGAAATATACCACACATGGCTTTGCGGGTGATGAGTGCCTTACACCTAATGTAATGGCTTTGCGCGTGATAAGTGCCGCACACCTAATGTAATGACTTTGCGAATAATAAATACCGTACGCCTAATGTAATGACTTTGCGAGTGGGAAATACCGTACACCTAATGTAAAGACTTTGCGAGGGATAAATGCCGTGCACCTAATGTAACGACGTTGCGAGTAACGAATGCCGTACATCTAATGTAATGACTGCGAATGATGAGTGCCGTACACCTAATGTAATGACTTTGCGAGTGATAAATACCGTACACCTAATGTAACGACTTTGCGAGTGATAAATGCCGTGCACCTATTGTAATGACTTTGCGAGCGACGAATGCCGTACACCTAATGAAATGACTTTGCAAATGATAAGTGCCGTACGCCTGATGTAATGACTTTGCGATTGATAAAGCCGTACACCTGATGTAATGACTTTGAGGTTGATAAATGCCGTACACTTGATGTAATGAGTCTGCGAGTGACGAATGCCGTGTGGCTAGTGTCTAGACCTGAAGTGGGGCTGGGCTGTGCGTAAGCATGAATGTCGGGAAAATTATGACTTAAGTGGCTTCGATGGTATCTGGACAAAGGTCAATACACGGTTTCGGTATTAACCTTTGTTTTGGTTTCGGTCTTTGTTTCGGTTTCGCAAGGCAATTTTTGGGGTGTTGGTTCCGCACACCAATTTAAGCATGTGAGCAACCTACAAAGGCACTCGTTAAAGAGAGATGTCATCGTGATCGGAGTCCACAACTAATGAGAGGTAAGCCTACCTGATCTAATCTCACTATTCAAAATAACCTTAAAATAGCTTATCATATTCAGAATGCATTCCGCATTTGTAAAGTTATTCACCATTAAACTCGTGATACCCCCAAAATTGCTGCCTTCACGGCGCAATCTTGTAATTCAGTCGGTCTGATGTCTATGGTATGATGTTGGTCAGTGCTGCACACGACCACAATTTCTCATTTGCGACCTGCGTGTCGCTTGCAAATACACGACTGAAGCGGCGAATTGACCTGCCCTCAGAGTTTACGGGTCTTCTCGACGTGTAGCTGCCCGGTGAATCCGAACAGCTGAGTGTCGGCAACTACCTGAAAGATTAGGACATGGTACAGATTGGCTAAATAGTGTCCAAAGCGGCCGCTTGTTGCATCCGAGCTCGTGGAGTATCGAGCGAGTACGCTTTGCCGCGTCCCGTTTCCAACGTTTGTTGTCGTCCGGTTGCCATAAGCAGCAGCAGAAGCCGAGAGATGGGTGCGTTGCTATGACGACTTGGCGGTCTGTGGATAACTGCCAGTTGTGTCAGCGGGAGAGAAGCTGTCCGGCCGCGCTCTTGTCAGGAGAGAGGTCCGTGTCAGCGGGAGAGAAGCTGTCCGGCCGCGCTCTTGTCGGGCGAGAGGTCTGTGTCAGCGGGAGAGAAGCTGTCCGGCCGCGCTCTTGTCGGGAGAGAGGTCCGTGTCAGCGGGAGAGAAGCTGTCCGGCCGCGCTCTTGTCGGGAGAGAGGTCCGTGTCAGCGGGAGAGAAGCTGTCCGGCCGCGCTCTTGTCGGGAGAGAGGTCTGTGCCAGCGGAAGAGAAGCTGTCCGGCCGCGCTCTTGTCGGGAGAGAGGTCTGTGCCAGCGGGAGAGAAGCTGTCCGGTCGCGCTCTTATCGGGAGAGAGGTCCGTGTCAGCGGGAGAGAAGCTGTCCGGCCGCGCTCTTACCGGGCGAGAGGTCTGTGTCAGCGGGAGAGAAGCTGTCCGGCCGCGCTCTTGTCGGGAGAGAGGTCTGTGTCAGCGGGAGAGAAGCTCTCCGGGGCGTTGTATCAGCGGGGGAGAAGACCAACCGCTCTGCGTCAGCGAGAGAGAGAGAGGTCCAACTGCCCTGTGTCAGCGGAAGACAGATCCAACCGCTCTGTGCCAGCGGAAGAGAAGAAGTCCGGCCGCTTTGTCGGCGAGAGAGAAGTAAAGTTCTCCTGCGCTTCAGTCGATGCCGCTGTTGACCTCGGTGGTGCTCCTGAGCGGGCTGCTCTGCTTCAGCGCAGGTCAGTCAGCTGGCATGCGTCCCGTTCTTAACGGCACTGCGTAACGGCGAATGACTGTCCACAGGGAGTTTGGCACATCTTGTCACGGAGGTCTGTCGTAGGATCAGAGCGCATGCAATGACCGCGAAACAGTTGGAGGCAAGGGTGGCGTCCCCCTCCCCCCTCCCACTCTCCCAGTCTGCAGGTCCCTACATAGCATGCGAACCTATAGGTGGCATCAAGACCCCTTAATAAAGATAACAATACAACTCGCATAAACAGAGCTGGCAACTTCAAACACCTATAATCAAACGAAAGTTGTTTCTTTTTCAAATCAAGTGTTATGCATAACCTTGCTGACATTATTAGGAGTCTTCTCTGGCTCTTGCTGGCCAGTCTGTAGAAATACAACATGCAAGATCTCGCCGCGATTTTCTTGGGTCGGGCTGCGGAGGAGCATCAAATATGGGGTAGCTCTTTGAAATTTTGTGGCAGGAGTTCGTGAAGTGGGGAAGCTCGTGCTACATTGGAGAGGCTCACACTACCTCAGGACCTAACGGGTCTAAATGTGGGGTCTGGGCCCTGGATGAGCAAAGAGAATCCAGGTGGAAGATGGTAAGATACGGCCATCTTTAAATTTGTCAGATAAAAATTTGCTGTGAGCGCTCTTAGTACTATTGATAAGTCGCATGGTTGATCCAGTCTGCATAGTTGGAACGAAAAGTTGCAGATCAAGACAATCATGCGAATAATGGCTTCTTTTGGACTTAGACGCATTTTCGTATTTTCATTTACAGAAGTCTTGGCAGAACGCTATTTAAAAAGGTAGCGTACCTACCTAAGCCGGTTTCTAGCCAAGGCCACTAACTTAATCGACGATGATTATGCTAAATTGGAAAACACCTCCGCGCCATAAGCTGTGGAAGACGATTGAGTCGACAAAACAATCACGCACCTCCGCGCCACAAACTGTGACAGGCGATTGAGTCGACAAAGCAATCACACAACTCCGCGCCACAAGCTGTGACAGGCGATTGAGTTGACAAAACAATCACACACATCCGCGCCACAAACTGTGACAGGCTATTGAGTTGACAAAACAATCACACACCTCCGCGCCACAAGCTGTGACAGGCGATTGAGTTGACAAAACAATCACGCACCTCCGCGCCACAAACCGTGCCAAACGACATGCCAAAGGGAATGTTTGTTGTTTGTTTTTTTGACATTTGGGTTTGTACCAAACTCAAATGTTTCGCATTTGAGGATACTGAAGAAAGTAGCAGGTATGATGAAAGACGCTCGCTTATAACTTAGCCAACACAATGCCCCTATTTAGTAATTTTGCTCCTCAATACGTCTATGATTACTTGCTTCATCATACCTTGTACAACATCGATTGAGAGCTGCATTGGCGGATGTTACATCTGGAAATCGTGCTAACGAACGCCAGATACGTCCGACTCAACAATTATATTTTTCTTGGCCTTGGTCACCGCATGACCAACGGAATGTTATGTTATTATGGCGTCAAAAATGTCTGGGTAACCTTGAAATATACTCCACGAAATAGCCTGCGCGTTCTTCGCGGGCGTGTGATCCAGAAACTAGAGGAGTCTAGGCCTTAAAAATGTCAGGGTACCGAATGATCTTCAAGGCGGCTATTTCATTCCAAAATCATACACAAATTTGTAACGCTCCTTATAAGTCTGTCCTTGAAAGATGGTAGTCCTCAGGAACCGGGGAACTTTTGTTTCGGTAAATTTTGGAAAAAAATGAACACGTTAGGGTATCGTCCAAACGTTGATAAATGCAGGCTTCCAAAATAATTGCGTACCTTCTGTGCATTATACCACATAACCGCATGTTAAATTGAACACATGCTGAACACCACTACCAACCGAGACTTTCAAGCCGTACACGAGCAGGAATTTTTGACAAAACAAAATATCATAACAAACATCACAGTTTGGAATGGGTTCCCGTATACCTATGCCTAGGCTTGCCTAGCTTCCACCAATGGTTAGGTACGCAGCGATAGGATAGGATGTTTTCCTAATTATAATCCAAGGCACTCTCAGCACTCCAAGGCATTCTCAGTAAATGTATCCAAATCAAGCCTCGAAGTGTTGTGAGCGATGAGAAGGGACCCACGTAGTATACCGTGAGCGTAATGGCTGAAAAGGGACCTATTTAGTATACCGTGAGTGTAATGGATGAGAAGAGACCCATTTAGTATACCGTGATCGTAATGGCTCGCGGCCTTCTTTGACCGCATCCGGACC